ACATTTCTCGCAAAGATACATGTACATGTAAGGGATTGTAGCTCCCAGTACTGTAGTAAGGTCAAAGGAGAACTCTCAAAATTTCCTTTCAAAAATTTAAACTGTGCGGTGCAGTCTGGCCAAAGTCCCCTACACTGTGTTGTAAAGTGCATATTGTTAGGGAAATTCTCTATAAGTGCATCATTATCAGTATTAGGTAACAATTTAAGTAATCAAATAACTCTTGTTGATCCTAGTAAATACTTGCAAAGTGGCTGTCTCTACTGGTGTCAGTAGCAGTAACCAAGAGCATTGGTTGTAACGTTGATATATTTTGTGAAGAACTTGTTGGAAACTTTTGTGACTGTTGAAACTTTTCAGATCTAAAAACATTGGCCTTGGTAATGGTCAGAGGAAGTGTACTGAATTTGAGGAGTATGTGCTGGAAAAGAGGAAACACTTACGTGACACTTTGAAATTATGTGAAAGAGCTACTCAGAGGGTGTTGCTGTATTCCAATAACTTCCTGCACAAAAAGCTCAAAACTGATCCATCAGTAAGTTCCATGTACAATCACAGTCATGCATGTGATGGGACACTCTTTATATATTTACTTTATTGATTTAGTTATCTGCAATCTTCAACCAGTCCAGCCCACTTCAGCTGCAAGCTGCTCAGAATAGGGACCTTATCATATCTGTTACATGTATGTCACATGATACACAACCTCAAATAACCTTGTCACTCCCAAGATCTCATTAGTAATTCTCCTTATGGTTTTCAGTACAATTCTCGCAATGTTAGTTCAGAGAATTTGATACTGGATCGACTAATTATGTGCTGAATAGTATTTTTTTAATTCTCATCAGTTGTCTCTTCGGTATTGTATTGATATTGTAAGGAGAAATTCTGTTGCGGTCACTCATTGGAGTTGAAGGGTTAAATGTAGACATTGAGATTCAGATTTCCAACTATATGTATGGCTTTGAAGATTAAGAAGCCGTCAATTGCCTGTCCATATTTAATTTGATAAAATTATCTTTTTCGGGAAACAGACTGGAATGCTCAAAACAGATATGATTATGGTATAAATGTGCAAGGCAAAAAGTGATTTTGATACTTGTCCATGATACTTGTCATTTTTGTTCTTGTCTTTGAAAACAGATGAAGGGGAAGAGCTTCTTTAGGGGGAGGGGGGGGAGCAATTTTGAATTTGGCTTATTGGAAGGTCAGTTGAAAGGAGTGAATAGGGGAGAGGAGGCACTAATTAAAAGGTTTATAGATCTTGTTATTCTCACCCTTAGAAACCTCTTCGTATTGTGAGACAGAAAGGAAAGGCTGCCCTTGGTAAACTGAAGGCCATGGAAGATTTACCGAAAGAAAAGTGTTGTGTGGATAACTGTGTTATGGTCAGTGCGCATTCTTTAATGTACTGTTAACTACTGTGCACCATATCCTAGATATATAAATTATTTTCACATCACTCTGTAAACAATGTCTTGATCGTTGGTTTTGGAAAACATTGGAAACGTCTTGCATAATATGACGTAAATTTATGGAATTTTCATTGCTTTTGAAAGAGTATGAATCCTGTGAAAGAGTTGTTACATACATACATACAAACAGGTTATAAACAAATGAATGTGTAAGTAGATAGTAATGATTGTGAATTCTCAACTTTCAAATTCATAGATTGCAATGACACACACAAATCTGCTAAAGCAGTGGCGTGACCGAGCCATCTCAGGGCAGACAGAAGCACGGAGAGTTCTTGCAGAGATGCTCACGCCATCTGGAGGTGCGCGCTCTAATTGTTACAAGTTCATATCCTGGGTGACAGGATGTAGTCATAGCACAATCGGCAGAGTTAATGAACAAATGAAAGAAACAGGTTTGTTTTGATTTTCTGCTTTTCTTCTTTTTTATTGATAGATACTGTAACAACATGATTTCTCGTGTAGTTTGGCTTAAATAAGTAGTTGTGAATTTTTGAGACTAAATACCCTTTTAATTCGTGCTATTTTGTTAGTCTGAAATTTACTCGTGGTTATTTAAGCTAAATAGCTATCGAAATCGTGTAATTACTCATACTCAAATGGTGCTGTAAATGGAATAAGAAAGATAATAAATTTTAAGCTTGGTATCCATTACGAAGTTCATATACGCCACGCCTCCTGCATACTGTTAGGATCAGCAATCTCGATAGCGTCATGTTTTGTAAACAGAATAAAAAAGATGTTAAGACCTTGCTCACCATAGAACCTCTTTGACTGAGTGGTAGAGCATCGGAGCGCGAAATCCGAAGCTCTAAGGTACGATTCCTGATGGGAATTCAGACTTTTTCTTTGTTCCACGCTCGTGACAAGACATCTTTTTCTAAAATGGTGCTTTTTGGGAGAATTTGGCCAAAATCCATGTTACTTCTCACGAAAGTCAAGAATATTGAGAGAGACCGCTTAGACTCGTGGAAACAAGTGACTCGTAGGATAAATTAAGGAACTCACCATTTGCACAGGAGCTTAAAGCAGAATTAGAAGATTGGTTTTGACAGTAGGTTGTTTATATCGCATGGCTTTCTTTGTTTCTCTTCTTCCCAGGTGGTGACAGAGAACCTCCTTCTCATGGTCTCATTAAATGGTGGCAGGAAAACCCTAAACCCAAGAAAACCAAGCTGAAAGCTCCGCAGCAGGCTCAGGTCGACACTGTTCAGCAAGTGGCATTGCAACAGATTCAGCAATCACTGCCTCAAGTCAACATCCTACAAGCTGCAGTCAGTTCAGCCGGCCTGTCGGCTGTCATGATGCAGCCTGCTGTGTCGTCTGGAATTCCGGCACTGACCACTGTGAACAGCTCCCAACTGGCGCAGACACAGTTACTTCCTACAGTCACATTCACCAATGGAACCATCCAAGTGCAGGGTGCACCTGTACAGGTTAGTTTGCAGTCAGCACTTGAAAGATCGTGTCCCTGTTTTTCCCTTCCCCATTTTCAAATCGTTTATTTTTAACGAACTCTGTGATTTTAGATTCAAACCGCTCAACCAATACAAGTGCCCCAGGTTCAGGTACAAGTTCAACAACAGCTGCAACAGCAACAGTTGCAATACCAACAGCAGATTCAACAACTGCAACTGCAACAGCTCCAGTTACAGCAGCAACAACAGCAGCTTCAGCAACAACTCCAGCAAACCCAGCAACTGCAGCAGCAAGCGTCACAGCAACTCCAAGCACACGTGAGTACTTTTCTATTCCAGCTGAACCTTTTTACTCCCTTGATCTGATTGTTAATTCTCCCTTCTAGCGTCCACACATTTCCTTGCAAATTAGTGTCGAGAATTTGGTGTAAGATCAAGATAATAATTTATCGGTTCTTCATTGGTTGTCACTTCTTTTAATTTTTTATGTTTGTTTTGCGCTGACTTTATTCATTTCACAAATTTTTTTGACTCGTGCGATGGACTTCGCTAAAAAGGTACCTTTCCCCCTCCCCCCTCAGAATTCCTTGAAATGTCCATGACAGTTTGCTGTACCCATTCAAACTTAAGGGTGGAGAGAGGCATTGTGAGATTTCGGTGCTTTGTCCAAGAACACAGCACAGTGACCTTGCAAAGGGTTCAAATTCAGATAAAAGTTCAGTTTGCTACCCATCAAATCAACCAGTAGAGATCAGTGAGCTGAACGTAAGCTTGCTAGGCGACTTTTAGTTTTAACACCTGACTGGTTCTGTTGTAGGTTGTCCATCAATTGCAACCACAATCTCTGCAACAACCGGCCTCTCAGCAACAGCAACAGCAACAACAACAGGTGCAACAGCAGCAGCAGGCTCCGCAAACACAACCGCCACCACAACAACAGCAACAAGCACCACAGGTTGCTCAACAGACAACCCAACCCCAGCAACAGCTTGTGCAGCAAGCTGAATCCCAAGAGACACCGCCTAATGTAACTATCACCATGGCAACGTCCAATACCTTGACAACGGCTGCGTTGCAAGGCAACCTGACTGCGTCGCAAGCAACGCCGCTGAACACTGAGAGTTTGTTTGCCACAGACGGGTTTCACATTCTCAGTGCTGTACAGCCGCAGGTGGTCACGCTTCCCGTCTCGCCCCAGTCCGCAGTGGGTCAGGCTGTACCTGTGTCACTGATCCAGACTCCTAACGGACAGCAGGGCTTGCAATAGTTTGGGCACTACGTTGAAATGCGCAGCTGTAGTAAGGGCAGGCAGAGAATTGAGATGTTACGGCTTGTATTAAAGACACCAATGAATTTTAAGTTACTCGGTTGATCTACATGTGATTCCGCTTCCATCAGCATCAAATTAGTCGATTGGAGAGATTCATGTATACGAATCTATGAAAAGGATAATGGGCTCCTGATTCATTTTAGTTTTATGAATGGTGTATGTGGGCAAACTGACCACAATTTTTTTTTTCATTTGTACAAACATATGGCAGTTGACTTGATAAATAGTAGAATTGTAAATAGTGGGCCACTCTGTTGTTGTAAAAAGAACTGGTGAATGATGTACTAGGGGAAGTAATGCAGATAGAAGCCAAATCAGGAATGGGGTTAGTCAAAATTTGTTTGTCTGTAACCAAACTGAAGTTAAAAGTAGACAACTGCACCATGTATTAATTATTGACTATAGATGGCCAGTCGAATATTGTTCTTTATTGTATGTCTTTAGTTCGTGCGCTATGATTAGTCAATTTTGCGGGCCATATTATCACTTTGCGTCCCACTGAATTCAAGTTTGTCTTGGTCGCCAGATTGGAACCCATTTGTAATAACTTTCTTACTAACCTCGTTTCCTCGGTCCGTACTGCAAGTTGCGAAA